TCGGCCACGCGCGCGCGCTCGCTCGCACACAAGCAACGCGCCGTATATACGTGTGCACACGTATTGGAAATGTGAACCGAATATTACCGAATCTCACCGGAAAGAGTCGAAGTCAGACGAGTGATCCCCTTACCGCGATTATCAGTTACCCCTCGTAAAAGGTTCCGTCTATAGAAGTCTATGCGCGAGATAAGTATATGAACTTCGAGTCTGTTCTTTTTAATGTGAGTTTGTCAGCAAGTTTCAAAGGAAACCAAATACATACAAAAACTTTGTTCAATTTATCTATTCCGGCTGAATGCCAGATCGAAAACTAATTAATTAATTACAAACAAACGAATGACTCCGAAGCCTTTTCAATCGCACTTGAAACGTTTTAATACGAAATACAAACGATTACAAATAGAAGTTATTTAAAAATGCGTTTATTTCCAGTCAAGTGTGAGCGATTCTTGCGACACAACTAGTAGAATCCGTAGTTCACGGCCCGCCGACAGGAGTCTCCACCGTGTCTCCTGTTGACCCCCGATGGTGAATCGTGTTTACTTGATTCACTCGCATATATTCCGTATATTTTGTCACTCGCATTTAAAATGCCAGCCACGGCAAAATGAAGTTACATGTCGCTCTTACGGCGTTTGTCTGCTTTCTATGGGATCAAAACGAACGTTTGGTGCTCGCGAACAAGAGCACCGAGCCACAGCCGGAGTACAGGCCCGATGGTCCGCTGGTAATGTGCAAATTCCTGTGAGTATTCAATTAAAATGTCCCGTGGTGCTCCAAATAAAATCATTGCAATGGCTCCTTCTGTAGGCCTAAGGAATTCGTGGAATGCGAAGACCCGGTTGATCACAAGGGAAACAAGACCGCCAAGGAGGAGACGGGCTTTGGATGCGTCAAGGTGCGACGTAAGTTGTAGCTACGAGGAATTTAGATTAATCTTATTCACGATTGGTAAATTAACAGTTCGGAGGATCTCGCTACGAAGATGTGGAGAAGACCAAGGTATCCTGTACAGTGCTGCCGGACATTGAGTGCTTCGGACCGAGAACGTTCTTCCGCGAGGGGATACCGTGTATAAAGTACAGCGACCATTATTTCGCGACCACCCTCTTGTACAGCATTATGTTGGGTTTCCTTGGCATGGATCGGTTCTGCCTCGGACAGACCGGGACAGCGGTGGGAAAACTGTTAACGATGGGTGGCATGGGCGTATGGTGGATCGTTGATCTTATCTTGCTGGTAACGAACTCCTTGCAACCTGAAGACGGCAGTAACTGGAATCCATATGTATAGCATTTCGAGAAAACCAGGGATCACATTTTGTATATAACTCGTAGCCCGTAAGTTTTATGTGATGATGCGCGACTCCTCACGGAAGTAGTCATCTTATATCCGATCCTAGATTTACTTATATTCAATTCAATCTCCAAACGTTGTTCCGTGGACGCCTTGGTCTTGCAAGGATCGTCAGAAAATTGAAATTGAGCGGAGTACGAGGTGAACAGTTTACTTGATCTCCATGAGAAATTTGTGTTATATTTATAAATTATCCTAATTATCTCGTATTTAAATTCTAATTTGTAAATAAATCATCACTATGCACTGAAGCTTGTGTCAAGTATACCGCAAGTTCTCTTGTACGAATAAATGTATTTATATTTGCTTAACAATTGGACTTGTATACATATATTGTTAAAATATATGCATATGAAGTGGCGATCGTGGCGCAGAGGATTGTGCGCTGGTTTGGTAATCCGAAGACTCGGGTTCAAAACCAAACAAAACATTGTTGGTTTTTCGTTCGATCGCCACATAGCGAAGTGGATAATATAATAGAAAGAGGTGTTATAAGAGGTTTGGGCACGTTCCTTCAAAAACGCCTTGTAATTCTAAGGGGAATCAAAATGTATTTACATATGCATATGAAATCACGTATAAATTACTTATATTCATTAAATTACTTATAATTCGTAGTCGTCAGGATGGTACAATTCACTAAGCAATCTATATACATAGGACGGCGCGTTTCCACCACTGAAAAAAAGACGTTCGTCGATTTGTTAATCAATTTTAACACTGAAATCTGTATAATTAATGCTCTTAGTTGTCTTACATGTTCGAGATGAATAACGTGACGAGGTCTGGTGGGACGTAATCGAAAACTGGATTGTAAGCGTGTATCTGCTCCAGCAGCAGTGCGTTGGCACTATCGATTACGCTGTGCATCGGTGAAACGTGGCAATTGAAGTCGCTTTGCTTGCCCGAGCAGTGGTAGATGGGCGCGAGCTTGTAGAGGGGCAGCAGAACCATCACTGGGACGGAATAGTGCTTGGCTGCTTGTGCGACGGTGTGCGCGCCCGAGATCGCCCGGAGTCCGCCGTTCGCCATGACGGTGTGAGTGCCGATGATGACCTTGTTGACGCGGGACATCATCGCGAAGATCGCCGCGTCCGATATCAACGTGGTCTTGATCTTCGCCTTGGCCAGGTTCACCGCCATTTCATGGCCCTGCAATCATTCACAGATCTCTCTCCCTCTTCTCGTATTCTCCCTCTCAGTTTTACTTCGAGTCTGTCACGAAGACAGGCGCATGCTTACGCTTAGAAATGGCCCGCCCTCGGCTACTATAACGTCGAAGGCTCTGGTAGTGGCAGCCTCCTTGAAAAACTCCTCCACCAACTTCGATTTTCCGATGGTCATTATAATTTCGTTCGAGTGTATATGCTCGGACGCTTGTCGTGTGATGTTTTCCGAGCTGCAAACATATTTGTTCACATGTTAGTAAGAAATTATTATTATACTAACGTCCATTTTACCAATATAGATTGACTATATAAATCTTTTATATTTTTCCAATTCTTAGAACTAGAAAGAGATGAACGGTGAGTCAAACTGAGATTAACTTACATTGGTAGAAATGGACACAAATGTTCGATTTATTCGAAAACGAAGATGCAACGTCCGTTAGCCTAATTCGAGGCATTTGACATATTGCTGTTTGGTAGAGACCAACGACATATACAACAGACCAAGCATTCTGGTCTGCAGAGTAACGTCGGAAGTTGGAGGCAGAGATAGTTTATTTCTACTATAGCTCTCTCACTCCAGCTAATTACCTAATCTTTTCATTGGTAGCGATAGTATTCTAGCTGTAGTACAAATCAACGATCTCTGTCTCCAACTTTCGGCGTCAACAGTTTCACAGCAAAGGCAGAGGAATGCTTGGTCTAGTTTGAGGAGACAGCGAGAATTATGTAAAAATTGAACCAAAAGTTGCATAATGCCACTGCAATGTAATACAGAAATCGCGTCATTTTTCTTTTCTTTACGCAGTACAGATGCGATTGTAACACACCAGGTTTCCAACTCGACTTCAAACTCGTTCATGTTCTCGATGAGGGACGTTTTGAGAAAAGGTATCGAGATGTTGAAATCTATCTGCCGGTCGTTCTCGGCGGTGAGAATTTTGTGCAAGGACTCCTGGGGACACGTCTCGTCCATCTTGGTCTTCGATTCCGAGGTATACTCTTCCCTAATGATTTGCAATATCCTCCTCACCATGTTTCCGATGCACGTTTCGAGGGGAAGCGACTTAATCAGGTACTTGCCATTTTGCCTAACAATATCCATCAAGTCCCTGGAAAATCAAGTTCACAATATCAGAAAATTAAGAACGCAAGTTAATTCAAAATAGAAGTAGCGTTTTTCTATCGCCTCGGCAAACTAAAGCCAACGGCACACGGTACTATTTTTCCTTCTTCTTCTTCTTCTAGTTTATTGGCTCCCGGCTCACTCACTGAGCCGATACGGCCACGACAAACCAATAATCTTGATGGTATAAATATCTTACGTGTAATCACGTTTTTGATGTCACACAATGCAGAGGCCCAACTACCGGACCTCGCGCGGGATGATGCAACCCGCGAGTATCAAAAATTTTTTTCTTCAGCCAGAAGACGTGCGAACCGCTCAACATTCCAAACGGAACTTTACTACTATTTTTCCTACTGGATTTTGCTTACCGAGAGCCAAGCAGAGTTTAGCTTTGAGTCAACTGATCTAAAAAAACTCTGCATCCTTATTGGTTCTGGTAAGCAATCCAGTAGGCAAAATAGTATCGTGTGCCGTTGGCTTAAGGGGATGCTGGAGTAATTCTGCACTTTTGGCTGTACACAAACGCCACACAATTTGTATATTACACAAATATTTTCACGAATCGACAGTTCTAGGAGCGAAAGGTGCCGAATGTACAGAATCACTCCAGCATCCCCCTGACACGCGCTCGGGGCGTATTGCGTCATCACGCTGATGCAAGATACTTGAGTAACGAGTCATACTTTGCTGTTCCCCATTCTGTATTGCTGATGATCTCCTTGAACATGGAGATAGTGGCCACCACGATGTTGTACGTGCCCTTGATTTCTCTGAAAGAGAGAGAAAGCGGACGTTAGCTCGAGTTTTCTCAGTTTTATTTCTTCTTGGACATTCGATGGCAAACTGTCTCACCCATAGTGAATGCTGTTCACCAACTTCAACACACTTTCGTTAACGTCCTGCGGACTCGCGTCCATGTTTTTCACTCAACTCCGCTGTCCGAACATTAAAATTCACCACAGCGTATCTCAGCACGTAGGTACACCGGAAAACTCGCGTTGGTTCTCTAACCTGTTCGTATCTCGTTGAAAAACGTGCTGACCCAATACGAAATAAAGTTAAGTGAAAGACAGGGCAAACGTTCTCGGCTGGCATCACTGGCCAGAGGTGCCGCTTTCGGTCCGTTCTTTTCAGGGACTGGCTGAACCGACTGGAAGCACTCTGTGATTGGTCCGCCATTTTCCGTCGATTCGCGCCGGTTTTATAAAGCGGCAATTAATTCAATTTAGCTCTCTAAACTCCAAAGTCGAATGAAATCGCGCTCGTTCGACGCGTTTTTGCTCCAAATAGAATCCAGCGGAAGAGACGAGTGTTGCTCTGCCGCGCGAAGCGAGGTATCGTCCAACAGCAGTGACGCACAGTGACGATAGCACGAACGAAAGCCCAACTCGTTAACGGAGCACCCCTCTACCACTCGAATCTGTAATACGACCGTGATGATCACGGCGTGATGGCGTGATCCGTACTGCGTGCACGTGTCTGAGAATTGCAGCTTCTCCCGAAGTCGTGGACATCAGTCTCGCCGAATGCTGCGTCGTTTCGACGTACTCTACCACTGTCCGCGAAGAACGTAGCTTAAATGCGTCATCTCCGGCGAGAAAATTACTCGAAGCGATGACCTGCCCAGAGCTCGTATCCAACTACTGTAGCCCGGCGATCAAGTGGCACGAGACAGACCTCACGGTCGTCGTGTGCATTCAATTGACCGACGTGTCCGACTACTACCTGCGGATCAAGGACGATTGTTTGCAGTTCAGGTATTTAGCTGGGCTCGAGTAGAACAAGGGACGATAACGCGTGCGGCGTTAGATCGACTCAATTTCTCGTGTCGTTGCAGCACGAGTACGAACGGCAAGGAGTACTATCTCATTCTACACCTGTTTGGGTCGGTGGTGACGGAGAAGACTGTGCATAAGAACGTCGGGAGGGAGATCAAGATCTACCTGGTGAAGGGACTCAAATGTAACAGTAACTTGTAACCCGTTGCAGATTTTTCTCCTGTGAGAAACAGACTAATACTTTGTCCGGATTCAACAGGGTTTCCGTGGCGTAGGCTGATCAAGTCCAGAGAGAAGAGTCCATTAATATCGTATAACATAGATCACATAAAGGAACCGGACATTACCATTAAAAAGGCCTTCGACAGTAAGAACAATTATTTTTACCCTTGTATCCTTGCGAGTATCGACGCTCGGCCGTTATCTGCAAGGAGAGAGAAAGATGAATTACAAAGACTTGCAATTGTTCAATTTTATTCATATGTGTTTTCTCTTGTTTCGCAGTAGATAGATTTGAAACGTACAAACGCAAACATAACATACGACAGATCATGCCCGTTGTGCCGTCCAGCGACGAGGAGGAATCTGACGAGGACTACATGGACTTTTACAAATACGCATAAAATATTCCTGTTCAGTTTCTCCGTAATACATTTGTAACATTTTATTCGTGTATAAAACGAGAAACTTGTATATAATGCCATAAAAGTAATAAGATTAGATGCGTTTGTACAATTTTTGTTGCAGTTAATTGAAAATATGCATAGTATTACCGAATGTTTGAATTTATGACAAGATCGAGGAGTTTCTCTGCGAGACAGCGAATTGGAAGCAGCTCTCATTAGCAGCTCACTGATCGCAAACTTCAAATTTCTTGATGTTGTAGTAAGGCAACTAACGTCGTAGCGTATAGCTTCAGAGTACAAGTATATAATTTGTATATTAGCTTATTGAATTGTTTTTATTTTTATACTTAAAATTGTATCTTTTCACACAATCATCGTTATGTTATACAAGACGCACAAGTTAAATTATTCATAAAGTAATTTAAGGATTATCATTTACAAAATATTAAATGAAATTAATACTTCGTTATCATCAGCACATATCTCTTTCCGGTAAGAATTACATACATTTTTATCAAAATGTACTAAATAAGATTTCAAAGATATTTATAAAATGTGTATCTATCGTGACTTGTAGCGTTTTCGATTTTCTGACTCGACCCGACCCCGAGTCAGAAAAGTTTGATCAAAAGCAAGATTTGAACCACAATTTCTACAAAAATCTTACTCTTGATCAAACTTTTCTGACTCGGAGTCGGGTCGAGTCAGCAAATCGAAAACGCTATTAGTCGTTATTGTATATGGAATGTCGCTGATCTGACTGGCCTAAGATGACTCGTAATTAAATAATTATTCATATAAATACATTTTATAAACGTATCTTTGGCGACAAATCAACTTTTGAATTAATATTTCGCTATTTATAATTTGTATCAATCTATCTACATTTTGACGATGGTAACTACTTTAAAGATAACAATACGCTTGACGATTCTTTTAGACATCAGCATCTTGCCAAGACCAATTATCTAATAAAAACAATAGCACCGAGAAATCTAATTTATAAAACTTAAAAGCGATCTTTTTCGATTAACTGTAAGTAAATGTACATTGTCTTATTTGTATCGGTAAGGAACGATGTTATATTACATCGATTTCTTTTAAATGCTGCTATGTTGTATCACAAATTATCATGGTGTATTAATTTTACTGAAATACATAATAATCCTTTAGCATATGTTGATCCTTGTGTAATCCTTTAAACAGTTTAAACAATGTAGAAAGTAATGTATATTATACGTGCATAGTCCTGTAAGATATTAAAAAAAAGCTTTGTATAATAAAATAAAAATGAGACTTATATTTTAATAAATAATAAATAGAATTGCAACAGTCACAATATTTTACATGTCTCGCAAAATTATTTATAGAGTGTCTACAAAATTTCTTTCACATAATGATTGATAACGAAATTACTTGTTAGGTCAGAGTGAATAACATTGCGTGTTTAATTGTTGCGCGTGCGCGATGGATTAATTTCCCAAGCTTTGTAAGTAGGATCCAGCCTATAAATTTGATATCTATTTTTGTAAAATCTATATCGGACATTTCAATTATCCCCTATGTTCGTAGAGAACTGGACATTAGAAGCTGTTCATTTAAATGTGGAACTCAATTAAACTAGTTTTCTAATCGGCGGCAACACAGGGGTGCGCAGTGTCTCTTTGCGATATTACTTCGCAAGATCACTTGCTGCAATTACTTGATATGGGCGTGGTAATGAAAATTAAAACGCGATAACATGTTGCACGTGGAGAACTGGACATCAGAAGCTGTTTCGAGTGTGAAGCTCAATATAGATTTTTCTGATTGGCGGCGACAAAAGGGTGCGCAGTGTCTCTTTGCGATATTACTTCGCAAGATAATTTCGCAAGATCACTTATTGTAATTACTCGTTATAGGCGCGGTAATGAAAATTAAAACGTGCGATAACATGTTGCACCGTTTACCCAACTTATCAAATATGGCTTAATTTCGTTAATATTAACATTATCTTTTACAACATAGATGTCGGAGCGGTATATGCAATGCAATAGTTGAAATAATCCGCAAGCCTATTCAACGTTGCGTTAGCATGGTTGCCTAAACTTATTTCATTTGGCTAGCAACCTTCTAACGACAGTCTTTGATTTATATTGTCGACTCTTAGTTTCATTTCCCTGAGAATATCTGCGGCGAGTTCGTCGACAGTGGTGTATCGTACCTTGAAGAAGTTAAATATATCTACAAGAAACTCGATCACTTGCTCCCTAAAGTAATAACAAGTGGAACGTAGGCTCTCTTCAGAACCCAAGAATCCCCAGATGAACATCGGCGAGATTTGCTCGGAGATGGAGTAGAAGTGCGCCAAAAAGCCTTGATCGTATTTCAGCATTCTCCTTTTGCCCGCGAGGAGGGACCAGAGCGCTGTTCCTATCGCCTTTAAGAACAATCGACGATTGGATAAACGTCGGAAACGACACGGTAGACAATTAATATTCAGTATTCCAGTACGTACAGTTTCCTTAAAACTGGTGGACACCCATCTGTTCTGGACTATAGCTCTGACGGGCGGCGGCGGTTTCTCCACGTCCTCGAACGCGTCCAAGAGTATGAAATCAATGAGCACGTCGTAGAAGTTCATGCACTTGACACCTCGAGCGGTCAACTCCTCCTCCATGATACCTTGACTGCGCGGGTCTTGCAGAAACTCCAGCATGCGCTCATAATACATTAGGTAATCTTTAGGATCCTGCAATAGCATTTTCGTCTAGCGAAGTTTCGAACGATTAATTACGAACGCTTTATTCTTCTACTCTCTAAAAGTCAATCAATGGGCTACCACTGAACACAGTTGTACGTACACCGCTGAATAATTCAGTGTGAATCAGTGAGCATTCGTTGTTCTCAGTGATAATCCACTAACTGACCTTTTTTAGAGAGTATTCTGGTCCATTCTTACCCTATCCGCGTACATAATTAAATCGCTAATGATTTGACGACCCACATCCACTATGTATTGCGTTGCCGTGGGTAAATTAAACAATTTCGTATAAGCTTGCCGCAGGCAGTACACCTTCGCTAAATATTCCACGTCCGATCCGCACTTTACAAGCTCCGTGTGTAGTCTCCTGCAACAATATACACTTGTCTGTCGCGTCTGTAGAGAAAACAAATGCATGTCCGGCGGACTAGATCTCAATTTACCTGCAAGGAATGCCCTTATCCTCGTGCTGTTTAAGAGCAGCATGATAGAGCTTTTGCTTTTCGAAGTGTGGGAACAGTTCTGAGAATTCCTCGAATTCGCGCAGATCCGCAACCTGAAATAACGTTAATAGTGCAAGCTGATATCCACCTTTCCACCTCAGCATCGAGAGAACCGTCGGGAGTGGCTTGTACTTGCGAAAGTAGATACTATTGTACAAGACAGTTGAACATTTTTCGACGCGTCCTCGAATCACATCCACGGCCGCACGGTCCATCCGTGCGACACGAACAGATCACGTTTGTCTGTCCCGTGGCATAACTCACCCCGTCACGTGCAGACTCGAACGATTCGGGCGACGATGCGACGTCGGCTTTATTATCCCTGATACCAGACAGCCGCGTCCCGATGTTCGAAGGCTTGTCGAGGCTCTCCTCGCTGTCGTTGCGGAATAAAACGGAGTGCTGCGGAAAGAAAAGACGGGTGAGCAAACGGACGACGAGAGGCGGAGATGCTTGCATTCCGGGGGGGAAATGGACGAGGTCGTAGCTCCCGGCGGTGACGTGCATGTCGTACGTACGATCCCCGATGTGTCGCGGTCGCGAAAATTCGGATTCACTCGCGGTGAAAGTTGTGCACTTCCTATGGCATTAACGTTCCGCAACAATTCCCGGCGACTAGCGTCAGGTCAAGTGACTCGTTGCGCTAATTACCCCCAGGGCGGCCGTCATTTAAATTGGATTAATTCCCGCATTTTTTTAGCGGACCGGTAGAAGGGCAATTGATGATGAATGCAGCGGGACGGAATGGCATCGGGTGATCGTCCGCACTTTCGAAGGAACGGGCGGCGAATCTCCGGGGGAACCGAATCTCGACTCTCGAGGTCGCGGATCGGCCTCGCGGAGCTCCGGGCACGGACAAGTTCGGAAGGAGATACCGTAAACTTGGGTGGTTTGACCAACCCGGGTGGTTTTGGCACTTGTCATTTAGTATTTTGTTTACACTGCGCGAACGAAAAATTTTTAATACCCATGGTGTATTTTAAAAGGTGGAAACACGGCAACGGGTGTCAAAAATTTCAAGGTCAATTTGCACAGTAGGGTAAGGTGACCAAATTCGGATAAAAAATTTGACGAGTCGCTAGTAAGTGACATTTTAAAGTATTTCACTGAAGTTTCGCTCTTTTATATATTTACAACTTTACGCTGTGTTGTCGATAACATCGACATGCTTTTATATCGCTTATTAGCGACTCATCAGATTGATCCGCATTTGGTATCTGGGGGTCAATTCTGTATCTTATAATATAGTGAAAATGCTAAAAGTGAGCGGCTTCCCAGTGAGAATACCTAACGTTAAATCAACGTCGAATCGACGTCAATAGTTTGAAACCACGTCCCAACCGTCAATTATTTTCGAAAACTGACGGTAGGGACGTGGTTTCGAACTATCGACGTCGATTTTTTGGTATTAAATTACTTACACTCAACGTTCTGAATACTTTTAAGATCTTGTTGGAGAAAACTGCCAAGTTAACTCGACATATTTAATACAAAATTTAATACAAAAATAAAATTTCAAAATTTTTATTTATTTTCGGAAACTGACGCGGTTTCGGCTCCATTGACGCCAATTCGACGTTAGTGTTCTTACTGGGTTTGTTTCTTTCTAAGGGGACGGTTAGATTAGAGACCCTGAAAGATTTTACGATCGTAGAAGAGTGAGATACACTGACAAAGAAATTTTTCGAACTAAGTAGACATATGCCTCGGTGGTCAAATTGCAGGTTGAGACGCCCGCCTAGAGTGAAAGCAGGTTCAGGTTCAAACCCTGGCTGAGGTAATATTTTCGTAATAAATTTTCTGTATTATTAAAATTGCCAGATACGGTCAATAAAAATCACTGTTGTTGTTAATTACGGCTGGCGACTTAGTTACTATAAATTTGAGATTAGTAAACTTTACTGTGATTGATCAAATTTCAATCTAATCTCAATCTCAACCCGTAGTCTGATACGGGCTTTATGGCCAGTCTCTGATTATAGGATCTCTAGGGTAGACAAAGCTTTTAAGAATATTCTTACTAGGTAATATTTGTTTGGATTAAGATATTTTTTTTATCAGTGTAGCCTATGTTTCTCTCCCACTCGCAAGAGTTTAACAAACTTTTAAGCCCGTATCAGACTACGGATTGTGATTGAGATTAGATTGAAATTTGACCTATTAGAATAAACGTTACTATAAACTTGAGATTAGTAAACTTTACTGTGATTGGTCAAATTTCAATTTAATCTCAATTTCAACCCGTAGTCTGATACGGGCTTTATGGCCAGTCTCTGATTACAGGGTCTCTAGGGTAGACAAAGCTTATTCACTTTTAGCATTTTCACTGTAGTGTGAGATACAGAATTGACCCGGATCCGAATCTAGTCACCTTACCCTATAAACAAATGCCGAAAAAGTGCCAAAGCCACCCAGGTCTACGGTACCGTACTTGATCGAGGAAGAGCAGTTCCGCGTGGCTCTGGATCTGGTAGCCCATGTCGAGCAGCTCCTGCACGTCGTGGGTGAACGCCGCGTCGGCCTTCGACGGCAGTGCCAGGGCGTCGTTTCCAAGTGCCGAGCTGAACGCGGTGAGGGCGTCCTCCCAGCAATAAAGGGCCTTCTCCAGCGCCTCGAGTCCTGTCAACAAGAGTCGGCGTCAGCTTATCTCGACGCGGCGAGGATCGGGCGCGGTTTATATCGGAAGAAAAAATAAACCGCATAAGACATAGCACTCTTAGCAGACGTAATAATAATATAATCTGAGAGTTTCAAAGGGGAAGGGCAAGTGTAAGCGGCGGACGTTAAAGTTACAGCCTCAGCAGGAGAACAGAAAACGTACGACGAAACGAACTAATGGCGTTATTGTCATTGACAGCGAAGCGTAAGGGCCCGAGCAGAATGGCCGTCATGTGCTCTTATAAGACAACGGTTTTATGTTTTAAATATTTGTCTTAAAGTATACGCACGATTACCGTCTTGTGTCTTAAGAATACAAGACAGCCACTCTGCTCAGGCCCTAAGAGTCCACTCATCAAATCATAATCGTGATAAACGCAGTTTTATGATTATTATTTCGTGGTGTGCGTAAAGACGTTACATTAAGTTATTATATCAAGATATATTATTTTAATACATCTTCTCTCTGCCGCAGGTATTCGAGCTCAGCTCCCAGCCAGCCGGAGGGCTGTACCTTTCCCCTCGTATCGCGCGCAGGCAATTACGCTTTCTTCTAGAAAATCAACGAGTCCGAAATTAATGTCGATCTGTACGCGCGAATGACTAACGTGGTGATAAGCGAGAAGAAGGGAGACAGAGAGAGAGAGAGAGAGCATCGTGGACTGCTACAACTACTTGAGGACTTCGGGGATTCGAATTCCGAGTCGGTGACGCCACTCTCTCTTTATTTAATCTTTCGTAAGTCGCCGGAGAACGTTCACCAATTTGCCACAACGGAAGTCCGACACCGCCGCGTTAATTCAGGGAGCTGCTCCCTCCCCTCCCGCCCGCCAGCTAATGTCCCGAAGGCTGGCCCATCATCATTTTCAATCTGTGCCGTTTACCATCGCCGACAATTATATACAACACCGACCGGCGCAACTGGAACGGTGTACGCGCGAGATCGATATCGTGACGATCTCGCGTGACAATTGACTCGTCTTCGGAACCCATTGCTTAAACCTTAAACGATCGCCGATCAGTGGCGTAGCGGGTCAAAAAGCCCCGACACACGAAAACACTTAGGCAAGAAGGCTTTAGACCTAAGGGCCAGTCACAGTCGAGAACGTAAGCAGATTGGTTGCAATTCTTAGGGCCTAAGTCTCGAGTTTTTTGTGTTTCCAGCTTTATGGGGGAAATTTGTTGCTTTGATGAAACAGCTGCAAGTTGCCTACACGTTTCTCGAAACTAGAACTTGCACCGAGTTCTAGCGTCGTGGACAGGGGCCTTTAGACTTGCCTCGCGATATCGTCGCTCCGCGCGTGTATGGCGATATTAGAGGAAAGTCCTCTGTTGTGAGATAGACTCCTAGTACGAGACGGTGGGGTTTCTGTTAAATTAATAGGCACCATCATGGTGATTCCACCATGAATTTGTTGCCCTTGGAGCGAAATCTGTTTAGTGGAGAATTCATTGTTAGATTGTGTAATCGTTGCGAAAAAGAGATTTGCGATTAGCAACGTAAAGAATTATTTGACGCCAGTACATGATTGACCAATGTAGAAAAATTGTTAAACGACGCTAACTGGCAAATTCTAATTAAAGAAATTTATTGCGAAAAATATTACCTCAGCTAGGGTTTGAACCTGGACTTCCCCTCTAGGCGGGCGTCTCACCAATTCGACCGCTGAGGCATTTGCGATTGAATTTGGGTATTCAAAACCTGCTATCTCATAATAGAGGACTGTTCTCTATTAATGAGGCAACGGCGACAGATTGAGCGCGATGGATCTTTTTCTCCTCTCGAGTCGTTTCGCAGGTTCCAAAGGGCGTCAAATCCGCTTTGCGGGGTTTCACAATTTCGTCTCGAATCTCCGGACGGACGGACGTAAAACGGATTTGAGATATCAAATTCGTCTCCATCGCGTGCCGTTAGACATCAACTGTCCGAGAAGAAATAAAAAATTACTGAAGAGAGGAAGGGCAAAAAGCGATCGAAAAAAAAAAACGAATTAGAGCGACTTCGATCAAGCTCCGTACTTATACTTACTATTTGATTAACGCGGAAGGAATTGTTATTTTTTTAATTTAATGTACAGAAAAAAAGATTAGATCAAGGGCCAGTAACAAATTGCAATATGCAGTTGGACGCGTTGCTTTCAGTCGAATTCTTTCGGTTGAAAGAATCGCCGATTAAGTTAATCGGAGTTGAACCGAAATCTCGCCCTCGAGTTTCAACTTATCGACGATTTCGTGGCTGAAACTCGCGCTGAGCGAATCAGGTTTTAATCGGCGGCGCGGTTCGATCCTCGGGAACGGATGAGGTATCGATTGCTCGACAAGGGTCTCGACGTACGACGACACTAACTTTCGTCCTCGACTTTAATTTCGGACGAGGTGGGAAGGCGTGCATCTGTTTCTCCCGTGCCCGCGGGAGAATGCGAGACGTGCCCCGGTTTGTTTTGCGCGGCACGCTCGCCGGGCGACATGGAGATCGCATTCTTGAAATTGAGCGAGGAAACGGAGAAGGTCGAAACACGGCAATGCGTGTTCCGTATTGCGCCACTTTGCTCCAATAATCTCGCCTCGCGGTTCCTCTGGAAACGAACGTTTAAACCAGTGGAAACGAAAAAGGGGCATGTGACTGAAATTGGGGCAACAATGGATCCATCGCATGAATAGGCTCATGTCCTAAAAAAAAGTACTTTTAACAAAAACTTATCTTAAAGAGCCCCTTCTTCAAAACAAAATTGTGAAACCTACTGAAACATTCATATTGCCCGAAAAAAGCAGTCTTTTGTGTTAACCGATTCAGTTGTCGCCGCAGATCGCGTACTCTTCTGTCACGTGTACTTAAAATTTAAGGTGGCTCCTGCACGAAGGAGCGTATGTTAGTATGGGTGCTTTGGCGGGGTCCCTTTTATTTTTGTAAATTCATACACTGAGAAAAACGTGATGATGATCCAATTACATAATAACAAACGGATATATCCAATTAAATTGTATATCCCATGAAAAATATCGGTTTTCAATCAAATTTTATCGGTAATTGCATTTCATCGGATGTATCCATAATTTAATCGGAAAGCGTACTCGGAAAAATTAACCATCAGACGCACTATTCAATTGGTTTATCCGATGAAAAATTTTCTCAGTGTGACGTAAAATAATGTTAACCCTCAAAGTGCTTCTGCGAGCGATCGGCCCGTAACTCCTGTAAGTTAAAAAGTACAACTTTAACATCTTTTCCTCCTTTTATTTCATCGGCGACCGGGTCTTAAATTTTGCGTACCGACAGACAAAACTTACAGCCACAACATACTCAAATTTCAATTTTTTTTTCAACCAAAGTCAAACGAAAAAAAGGACAAGAAAATTTCTCATATGCTTTTCTCTGCGTCCTATAGAGAAATCTGCGAGATACGCGAGGAAATCCTTCCCCTACGTCCGCAAGAACACTCCCTGCATCCCCGTGGGATTCGTCTTCATTCCAGGTCAGCCCGTAGCTCAAAAGGATAATCCATTTCCGAAGCGACGTACATACGTATGTTAGAAATCGTGGGTGAACAGGGTTCAGTACTTTTTCGGAGAAAACCTTGCCATCCCGGAAATATCCCGTGTCGCCGAGTTTCTTCTCCCGAAAAGGGTTAAACTTGCTGCGACCTCGCACCGGTCATTACGCAACCCCAGGACGACCCCGAGGGGCCGTACGGCACGGAGGGATGCCCCCCGGAGAAACGCGGCAGTGCGACGCCGTTGCACGCGTCCGGCGTCAATAATATACCCCCGGAGTGACGTAATCGCCGGGCCGGCCGGTCATTGGAGGATGCGTCATCCAATGGTGAAGGGTCGATACGGCCCGCGAGCCGCGCGCGCGCGCGCGCGCCCGCCGCTTTAAAGCCCGCGCGTTTCGCGCCGAACGAAGGCGATTTACTTTATTCAGACGTGCACGCGGTACCGGCCGAAATTATATCACCTTTCGTTCTTTCGAGCATAACTTTCGTCGAAGTGCATCGACTGTGCTCAAAACTTTACAGTAGACGCCTGATGGCAGGTGCATCTCACAAGATGCACCATGATTTTCGTATTCTTCATTGGTGCACTTCAAGGGGTAGACCGCTGAGGGTATTGTGGCGCACAGATTTACGGCTTTACTGGGCATTACTAGACGTTACTAGGCATTTCTTGGACACTGGGCCTTGCTAGGGCATTATAAAGATAAAATAAGATAAAGTAATGCCCACTGGGCATTAAAATTTACTCTGAAAAATCGTGGGACAACTTGGAATTTTGAACAACTCTCATGAAACTCTTTGCGATGCCGCGTTGTCCCACGATTACAACATTTTCACGATGAATGTTAAGAGAACATTCTCTCCGTGTAGGCATTGGCGTACGTGATTGCGGTCAGCGGTGGTTTACCGCTCGGTGCACTTTAAAACTAGGGATGCCCCAAAAATCGAAAGGTGATACACCCTTGGCCGGTACTGTATATCCGTATCGCGTGCCGCATCCCGGCGTGCCCTTCGATTCCAGGCAGTTACTATACTTTTAGCGAGAATATTCGGTATTCGAGGCTGCTCCGCGAGCCTGGAGGACAAAACGCGACCCGTCGGTGTAAAAACATCGCGTTGTTACCGTCCAAAAGGACCGGCGTTGCGCAGGGGTGGCTCCACGAAATCCTCGAGGGGACAATCGTCGGAATTAAACATTACGGCTCGCGGCGTCCCCACGAGCCGGACGAGGCGCCCTAACTTGCGTTCCGTATCGAGATTAAGCCACGATTAACTTTACGAATTAAACAGAACGCGTAATCGAAGGGCGGCGAGCGCTGTTCGTAAATGAGAACGCATTGTAAATCGTTGGATACAACGTTTCGCAGCCTCGCCAGCGTCTCGCGACGAGGTGCTTCAATCTTTCAGTAGCTCGAGCCTTGAATTCACTCGAGAGAGACACGTATGCGAAAATTCTGCTCTCATGGAGAAGTTGAAAGTCGGTGAAATCCACGCGAGTAGCCGATCAACTTGCAACTTTTCTGTGAGAACAGAATTTTCGCGTTTCTCCACCGAATGAATTCAAGACCCGAGCCCCGGGAAAGACGCGACTTCCCTCACTCTTCCAATTTCGAACAAGGCCCGATTTCACCAGCGTCGCTTAACTTTTAGCGAACTCGATTGCTTGCACTAGTGCGCACTGAGCGCACACTAAAGCCCGTATCAGACTACAGATTGAGATTGAGATTAGATTGAAATTTGACCAATCGGAGTAAAGTTTAGTAATCTCAAATTTAGTGACTTTTACTCTAATTGGTCGAATTTCAATCTAATCTCAACCTCAATCCGCAGTCTGATACGGACTTAAGGCTTGTCCACAGTCAATTCTTATATTTAAGGATAGTCTTAAACATCTCTTGAAATATTCAACCAACAAAATGATAGCATCCATACGGATCGTTCTTTGGTCGAATACTCTTTAAGCGTGTATTTGAAACGAAGTTAAATGTCAAAACTGACTACAAACAGGCTTTAGTGCAAGCAATCGAATTCGAGCCTAGGCTTAATTCATCTCTTTCCAACTGTCCCTTCAAAAGGAGACAAACAATGAACTTAAACTAAGGTTAAGCGACGTTGGTGAAAACCCGGCCTAAACGCCCATCTCTGCCGAAACGCAGTTTAACTTTAATCCCGGTTCAACTTGTATCTCTTCCTAGTTTTTGTACGAAGTAGAAAAAGACAATAAGTAATTTAAACCGAGATTAAAGTTAATCCGCATCGGCAGAAACGGGCATAAGAGAAACGTCGCGCTTTTGATCTCGCGTCGAATAATCGCCAGCGCGCGCGCGGGGCCGAACGGGACCGAGAGAGAGAGAGAGAGAGAGAGAGAAAGAGAGATCGACCAATGGGAGCGCGAGAAGGACGGCGGCACGCGCGCCCAGCGGCTGCGCGACAAGGACGGACGGGACGCGAAGTTAGGTGGGGAGGGGAGCGTTTGGCGTTTCGTTTCGCGCGCTGGCGTCAGTTACTCGGCTACGTTCAGCACGTCACTCGCTCGCCGCCGATCGTGCAGCGCGCTCGCAGCGATATTCCCGCACGTACAGTAACACGGAAGCCGTCGACACGCGGAAGGCCTGACCGTGTCCGATCGGGAGAGTAACAGAGGATCGTCCCCGCGCTTTCTCGTACGATGATCGTCGTCGCGAGGCCGTAGCCCGCGACGAAGCAAGTCTCACGGCTCAGTGTCCCGGCGGCGGTTTTACCCTACGCGCGTTATTTGGATTAAAGTAGAGTATCGACGAGCGCACACGCACACCCGAAGACAACCACGGTGAGTATAGAAGACGTCCCCCCGCCCGAGGACCTGCCCCTCTCCCGCCCCCGAAAAACTACGGCGGTGACGAGCGCGTCTCCGTTTTCCCCCCCGCTCGCCGCCGGGGGTGGCGAATGATTCCGATCCGACCGCGTATCCGCTCGACACGTGTAATTCCGTGCAACGCAATTTTCATTACGACGAGTGCCATTCGGAGCGCCTCGGCGGAAGATCCTGCCTTCCTTCCCCTACCGTGTGTCCTTTCCAGCGCGTCGGCCAGCTCAGCCTTTCTGCCGGAAACAATCCCCCGTTTTTTTTTTACTGCGCAAATACCGCTTTCTTGTTCGCGAAAGAACGACGCCAGGTTCTCGCGGAGGGACAACACGATATCCATCGCCTCGGTTCTCCTCCGGTGTTTCGTCGCATTGAACGGCGCGCGGGGGACGGAATTTAAAAAAGAATCGATATCTGATAAATCACTGGCGGACGCTGCGCACCGACGACTAACTTCGGGCTGGTGCCACTCGGGATGACGCGGGAGATGCGGCACAAGGCCCGCGGCCTCTCCTACGTCGCTCGACTTGGACCTCATCCGACTCCGTCCTCTGTCCCTTCCCGCGACTGTTCTTCGAGAGAAAGAGAGAGACGGGGAGCGAGTTAGGCCGGGGTTAAAGTTGTAGCGAGAAATCGGGCCCGCGAGACCGCGCGCGGTTACTTCCCGGCATTCCGCGACGACGGAGCCCCGCGCGTCCCTCCGCGGATACAGAGAAGACCGCTCGAGATAGATCAATAGAATCGATTGCGGGCCGCGCTAACCCCCCCAGAAAAAGAAAATGGGTGGGATCGCGTCGTTTCCCTTCTCCGTCTTCCCACCCTCCCCCCTCGCAAAGGGGAGAACGCATCCATCGTGAGAGAGAGAGAGAGAGAGAGAGAGAGAGAGATATCGGGGGAATCCGCGAACAATACGACCAGCCGCTGGCAACACCTGGGCGTGCGCCTTGTTTGTTGCGCAACAATTCACAACAAACAAAAATGGAGCGCGCGATAACCCGCGAGCGCGCGCGCGCGCAAAAGAGAAACGAGAGCAGAAATCGAGCGTCCCAGTGACAAATTCTCAAGATTCTGTCTTCCCGTCCGCCACCCCTTTCCCGCCCCTCGGGTACTCGTTCCGAAGGATCTGCCGCGTCGTGGATTCGCGGGCACACCTCCGGATTTAGGCTCTGCGCTTCCTATGGGGGTCAAGTTCAGGGGTCGATAGCTCGGCGGCCGGCGGTGGTTCCCGGCCGGTGTTACCCTCGAATAAAAGCGAGCGCCGCGGCGCGTAAAGCGCGGAAGAGAGCGGCGGCGGCTTGATAGCCGGCCGCCACACGACGCCGGCAGATCGATGGAGGTGCCTGGTGAACTTGGAAATTCCCCTAGCACACGCGCACTTCCTCGTCGTTCTCTTTCCCTCTCTCTCTCTTTCTCTCTCTCTCTATCCCTTTCTCTCCCGCTCTCCCGTGTTCGCGCCGTCACGGTGCACGAGGATAACGCACGCTCGAGTAAACGCGCACACGGCCGATTGAGAAGCGGGTCGTCTTCGACTCGCCGAGTGTCTGGGCCGTTCGTGCGCGGGATGATTCACAGCGCCTCGGCGGCGTTGCGTACAGGGCGTCCTGGGAAAAGGGACGTCCCTCGCGAGAGGGAAACTCGCGGCCAATTCTGTATCTTACGCTATCGTGAAAATGCTAAAAGTGAGCGGCTCTGTCCCTTTCTAAGAGGACAGACAGTAAGATGATCTTAAATATAGGAACGGACTACGAATACCGACCACAGTCTCTCTCGATCATCTCGGACGAAATCCTGAGGGTCAATTCTGTATCTTGCGCTATAGTGAAAATGCTAAAACTGAGTAGCTTGGTCTCTATCTAACTGTCCCCTTAAAGGGGACAAAGTCGCTCGGTTTTAGCATTTTCACTGTAGTGCAAGATACAGAATTGACCCTCAGGATTTCGTCTGAGACGATCGAGAGAGAGAGAAACTGTGGCCACACTGAAAAAAATTTCTGGTTGAATATGGACGAATCAGATAATTCCTTTAGGATTTACCAGAATTCCTGTAATCCTACAGAAATTCTGGTAAATCCTAAAGGAATTCTGGTAAATCCTAAAGGAATTATCTGATTCGTCCATATTCAACCAGAAATTTTTTTCAGTGCAGTATTCATAGTCCGTTCTTATATTTGAGATCATCTTACTTAAGTATACCCTTAATGTGTTTTTAACCGATCGCAGAGCCCTATCAGCCTCCTAAGACAACACTTGCGATGATTTTGAAATAAGAATCTACTACGAATACGGCGCCTATCATCGATCTTTTCCCTCGACTCGGCGATTCTCACGATCGTGGGGCCCCTCGCGAGCCTCCTCCGCGGATCGCGACGACGGGAGCGATCGAAGATCGCGCCTCCGATTAGCGCGCTATCAACCTTTCCGACGCGCGACACGCAATTTTATCAATCAACTCCAATCTCCTTCGGGAACGAGATCCAAGGATAACCGGTGCCCCCTTCTCTTTTTCCGACTCTCTCTGTGTTGCGTGAAAAAGAGGACCGACTTCCCGGCTCGCGTGATCGGAGGTCGTGCAGATACACCAGCCACGGGGGGGCGAGGGGGGGATCAACGTGCACCGCGGTGTTTCCGCGATAACAATTGGCGATTGCGAAATTCCTAATATTATTGCATTAGAGCCAATTTATATCGCATAACAGTGACGCACGCGCGCGCGGTATTCCAGTTCGCACCGCGTGTACACGTAACGGATGCGCGCTGAGTAACGGCGGCCCGTCTTCAAGGCGAGGCGAGCTCGGTGATGTTTCACAATATTAGCGACTTGTCACGTTCCCTGATAAAGAAAACGAGAACGGGATACGCCGTTGCCCAGAAGAACAGAAAAAAAATCGTGTCGTTCGGTTTTGCGCTCCGCGCGCCTATCCGCGATCTGGATTAATCTCTCCGTGTCTATTTCTCTCTTTCTCGCTCTCTCTCTCTCCCTCTCTCGCGGAAACCTGCCGTATATAATTTCGTTTCTCCGGCGGCGGCGGCGGCGACTCGTGATTGACGTACAGGAATTGCCGAGATTTTTCAACGGGACCGTTGCGTCACGTTTCACGTTGCGCTACCGTTTTCCGCGATAATATAATCAGACACCTCGTTTCCTGCCGTTCGATCCCCGTCGAGTTTTCTCTCCTCTTTTTTTTCCCTCCCGTTTATAAAAACTTGGCTCTGTGCACTCGAGGTCTATTTTTCGGGAGCACGCGTCGTCGTCGCGCCTGAAGTAATGTTGGGAACACACGAAAAAAACTTGAGCAGTGAAACGCAGGACTTAAGAATCTCAACCAATCGAAATTTTCAGCTCAAGTTTCAAAATGGCTACTTACACTTTTTACCCTCACTGGTGGTTTCCCTTACGTCTGAAGTTTTACTGTTTCACCTTTAGAGGGCCGGGATTTTATGAGCTTTTAATCCTCTTAGAAAATTCCCAAATATTGTGCCTATATCTTTTATATAACCTGTACAAAGTTCCGATCACACGTAGAGACTATATTTAAACTTTCCGGCCGTTAATAGTAAGAAAAAATTCAACAGTCGTAGTTTCGCCCAAAAGTCTGTTTCTATAGGTTTTTATGGTCGCTAAATACGATATTTAGGTCGGTTTTTGAGAATATTCAATTCTCATGCTCATGCGCCAAGATAAGGCTTACAAACATATGATCTATATGACTCTCCTTCAGCATTACCCAGAGCCAACGACGGGGACGTAGAGAGACAGCGTGGCTCCGTTTATTTGTTTCTTTTGTTCTGTTTTAGTTTTATTGTTATTTTTTATAATTTGAGCAAAAAGTGAGTGTTTAGATAGGTTGCTCCAGAGCATCTATATTTAGATTTTCCGACCCTCTAAAGGTTAAGGTTCTTTTTTTGTTTTACGCGTTTGAGCCTTTAAGGTCCGAAACACGTGAAAAAAAACTTAAGAAAACTGACCAGTGACAGTCGAGGAACGTGAGCAGCAATTTTGAGACTCGAGCAACGCTGAAAAATCCAATTGGTTGAAAATCTTGTCTTCCTGCTTAAGTTATTTCTTTTCGTGTTTCACCTCCAGCTTAATCGTCGTCCACGCGAATCCTTCTCTCAAGTTACACCGCGTTACGACCGCGAGCATGATAGCGCACTCGTCGTCCGCACGACGGATGTGTTACGCGGTGCAATTACGCGGGCATGCTTTCAGCGTAATTAATCGTAGGTAGCCGAGACCGGGGTGTAACCCGATTTACGGGCCGAACGCGCGGTGCGCTCGGCGACTCGCGCGCGTAAAGACCGAATCAGACTTGGCAATTGTTAACTCGGGTCGAATTAGCGATCGACGGTTGTCCTTTAGCCAATGAGAGCGAAGCAGCCAGCGATTTAATCGGCTCTCAGATGCTAGAAGACAATCGTCGATCGCCAGTCCGAGTCGGCGATTGCTAGTCCGATCGTAGTATAACTAGCAGGTCCACTCCGTCGTTTGTTTCGTTCTGCGTCGATCCCATCTGCGCATCCGACATTGCTCTGGGCAGACCAATGAGAGGAAAGTTGTGCGTGTGGTAGTGTGATCGGGACCGCAAAGATCAAAGGGGCCCGATAGGACCTGCGCGAGCGCCAACGAAATGTGATTTCCGATGTAACGAGTGACCCCGATCACACCCGGTTTGGTTTTCGCTCCACGAAAATCCCGTCCCTGTCGTCGAAACGGCACACTTTGCGCGCGTAACAGCGTTACACGTCGCGTTACATTACGTTAAACGCCCGGGCGCTCCGTTCAATTGCGAGCGTAAATGAATATTGATAATGCACCGCGCGAGAGGGGCCGGGAGACGGAGGGGGAAATATTAAATTTCCCACAATCATAATACAATAATTACCTCCGCGACCGCATTCGTGGTCGGGATGTTACGCAATCCCGGGCGAGGGGTAGGACCTTTCTTTTTTTTTTTCTCACGGAAG